ATATATCACGCCTTTTAACTATTTTCAGAAAATAGTTAAAAGGCGTCATATATTGTTGATCAAGCCGGAAAAGTGAAAATTTTCTTGAGTCAGCATGAGATTTGAGCGAGATATAAGGATTTTAATTTTTGCTGATAACAGATGAAAAATTGGTTTTTCACAAAAATCCCCCTGACGAAGTTATTTTCATTTCTACGCAAAAACAAATGTTGCCACTATGCTCAGCGTAGTCGATTATCTATATTCCATGGTACTTCGAGATTCCCAGATATGTCTACTCGAAGATCGACACCTGCTCGGGGAAAGCGAGCCCTCTTCGAACGACGATAGCCGAAGAGCTGGGACTTGCATAATTTTGTAGCGTAACGTCCGAAATACCTATGCATGCAAAAAAACTACTAACATTGTATGTCAGTTTTCTGAGAACGGAGTTGGTTTTCCAAAGATCCTCTGGGAATTCGGACTTACATACAATTTGGAAACAAGTCTTTGCTTACAGAAACATGTCTTAAGGTCTTGGCTATTCAACAGTAAAAACCGCAGGTCGCTATCTCATCTCTGTGAAAAGTTATTAGCAAAACACTCACGACCACCGTGTTTCGGTGCCGATAGTAATTTAAAAAACACGTAGTATAAATTAGTGCACACAATATGACTAACATTTTTTCATCTTTAGGCTTCTTTAGGCTTTTTGTTTCAATATTTTGTTGAACTCATTATGGCTTTGTGTGAACTGCTTCTACGAAGGCCGAAATTGAACGGCACGAATGTATTATAGACTGAATGAGGTGCTCAAAATTTTTGTTTGAAAATATTTATGTTCGCGTAATGATCAAATCATCAAAAACAAATTTACAAAATTTTGTGATTTTATTAAAACAGTCTAGAAAATCTTCGGTCAAAATAACTTTGAGTGAGTAATCAATTTTTAGGTTTTCGGAAAATAGGCTAAAACACTAATTTTTGTATAACTAGACTACTATCGTCGCCAAAATATGAAGTCCCTCACTATATCTTGAATAACTTTTTATAGGAAAGAGCTAGCGACCTGCGGTTTACACATTCTGAAACTAGATGAATTTTGCCATAAAGCTATGTAAATGTTTTGTCCCGCGGACCACCTGCAGGTGGTGATATTAAAAAATTCAATATTCACTCAAAAAACATCAAAACAAGCTCAAAATGTCAGGATATGATCAATGTTGTCCGCCAAACGTAATTATAAGATCGAAGAAATCGAAAAGCATATTTTGTGTGAATAGATTTCCCAGAAATCCTTTTGGAAAACCTTAGGGTTTTTTAAGATTCCTTTCGAGATCTCTTATAAGTAGGATATAGAATAGCTTAAGTACTCTACATTCTGAGGTTTTGAGCTTCTTCTGATGTTTTTTGAGTGAATATTGAATTTTTTAATATTAGGTGAAAACAGCCTGAAAATTGTAATTTTCGTAAAACTGGCTTTTCGGTACATTTTTAAAACTTTTCTAAAAGCAAATATTGCCACGTGAATCAGCATAGTCGAAAACCTATATTTTGACTATTTTTACCTCTATTAAAGTGCAAAAAGCATGAGTTAGGGTGGTCCGCGGAAATCCGCACCATCTCCGGAAGATTAGAGGGAAACTGAGTAAAAGTTGTGTGGCTTTGTATAGTAAGGTCCGGTGATTCGAACCCATAACAGAACAGAAAAGAAGCTTTTTTTTATGCTATGCGCACCCTGTCTTTGGAAAACGCGCAAGGCTCACCACCTGCACATGGTCCGCAGAACAAAACATTTACATAGCTTTATGGCAAAATTCATCTAGTTTCAGAATGTGTAAATCGCAGGTCGCTAGCTCGTTCCTATAAAAAGTTATTCAAGATATAGTGAGGGACTTTATATTTTGGCGACGATAGTAGGTCATGTGAAAATCTTCTTTCAAAAGATATTGTGAAGTTTGTTTTACATAAGGCAATACGTTCTCAGATTTTCACTTTTGACTGGCACTAACTGCAAATTTCTCACTTTTCCTTCTCTGTTATTCAAAACAATCGAGAATATTGTTTTTTTTCTGGATTTGTCATTTGTTGTTTTCACTCTTTCTCATTAAGATTTTCGTTTTACCTAACAAAATTACATTTTCCAGACAAAACTACTCACATCAATCCAGCTCAAGCAAGAATGATGTGAATTATTGTATTTAGGAGTACATATTTTAAATAAAAATTTTAATTTTAATAATAGTGAGTTTTCAACTGCAACAGAAAAATGCATAAAGACATTTCTTGTGTAGACAAGGTCTGATTTTTGCAGAAATCTGCAAAATAAACTTGAGCAAACAAGATCTTACTGTCACATATGCTATAAACGATTAAACTTGATATCCTGCTGTTGGTATACCTAAAAAGATTTCTGACTTTGCGCAGTAGAACCGCGTTTCCTCAGAAAAATAAAAGTAACAGTACCAAAACTATTTTTTATCTGTACTAAGGTAACTGGATCTAACTGAAATGGATCGACGAAGTTCAGAGACATAACGCTTAAGTTTCAGTTCTTTTTAGACTAGCGGCATAAAGCAGTATAAATAACTGATATTTCTTTCTACAGTTTGAAAATTGAATGTATGTCATACCCTTTATCGACCGGATTGTACAGTGAAAAGAAAAAGAAACGTGTATCTTTTTTTTTTCATACTATTTTGTATAGTCTAGAACCAGCGTGTATATATCTTATGTGTCATCTATAAAGAAAAAACATAGTATACATATGCATATTGATTCTTTCTTCTTTAAAATAAAATAAAAATGAAACATTACGTTTCAATGTTTTTACCGTAGTGAATAAACTAAACCAGGAGTACTGAAGAACTAAAAAGTGGCAGCTAAGTACTAAAATTAGTACTAACGAAATTTTTTTAATTTAAGAACGTATTTAGTACTTAGGCATAAACTAACAGAAGTGTCCATGAGTAATGATAGTAGTACTCATCAGTATTAACTGACTACTTACAACCTAACAAACTAATGCTAGTACTCGTAGCATTTTTGTACCAGAGTACTAACTCAGTACTAATGATTTAGTTTATTCACTATGGCAGATACTCTGTTTTTTTGATAATATTTATATCAAGCAAACAAGTGACAAAAATGACAAAATATAATCCAATGGAGGAAGTGAGTGATTAACACAATACTTTTATTTTTATCCATGTGAATATGATAGCCCGTTAAGTCATGCTTGACACTTTGTGTTATCATTTATCCATAGCAACGCATGGATTTTGCTGACTACGTCGTCACCTTTTTCTTTCTGTTTTTATACTTTATTAAAAATAACTGATGACGATCTTAGTGCCATATATAAAAAAAAGACTGCTGCTTTAACGTTATTTCATTTTTCATGTAAACATGTACCCTTTGCGTAAAACTTTGCCAGAACTGTTTTTTTTTGTTTTTTATTCCTTCCGTCACAACCACTGTCTTAAGAATCTTCCTTTTTAGGCTACAAAAGCTATGACTAATATTGATCGGTATCGAGTGTCTTCGCAATCAATACATCATGAGCAAAATACGTTAGAAATACGTTTACAGCAATTAAGTGCTGAAGAAAAGCAAATAAAAACAAGGCTATTTCAATTGAATGAACAAGCGGTAAAAAACGATGATGAATGTAAAATATGGTCATTAAAACGAAAATTTCATATATCATGTGATGTGAAAGAAAAGGCAACAGCGTCTTTTGAATGTTATTTTCTTAGTAAGTTTATCTACTCTAGTCTATAACTTTTGTCGTAAAAAATCTAACTGCTCATGTAACAAGTTTTCAACAAATTCAGAGATTCTCCTATAATACAGTTAAAGACACATTTCTAGTTTTTTTCCTGTGAATTAATTTGTTCTATAAATTGTATCGAAGGATGTACTGCTATGCCATTGAGTTCACAATTATTTTATACTAATTTGGATATTTTTCTTCAAGTGAATTGCATAAAACTATAAGCTAATTTCAAACTTTTTGGTTATGACAACTTTTTTTAATGAAACTAAATTTACGTGTTTCATTTTCTAGGTATAGGTCATGACGATGGAGAAGACGCACAGTTTATCAATTCAGATGAAATAGAAGATTATTGTGCATCGATATTTCACATGACTGATATTCCTGTTAGCCAAGGTAGCAAACTTGGCGAAATAATTACAGTTGATGAAAATTTTATTGTTTGTTTCTTTCCTTATCTTTAGGTTGTAAAGAGCTGACAGATCATATAATCAATGCGACAGGTGTTGGTTTCATTCACAAAAATAAGTTTATCCAAGCATGTGTTGAAAATTGTGATTTTACAAAATTAATGCAAGAAAGAAAATAGACAATAAAACAAAATATTGTAATCACATTTTATTAAAATGATTTTAATAAAGTCCACGAAAGCATGATAGCAACAAGAGAGGATTGATAATAAACGAAAATAAAAATGTACGAAAGGCATTAATTGCACAGTTCAAATCACAAATGCAAAGGAGATATTCACTGATTGATCGAAGAACTAATCAATGATTTTTGTAGACCGTCCTGGATGCAATATAAATTTATTAAACTTATTAGAGCAGATTTTTTTTGTATAACAATTAAAGTTTTGTGAAATGAATGGCAGAAATTTAGAAAGTTTTTTCTTGTTCAATATCATTCACATTAATGGTCTCGTCTTCATGCTTCAAAGCAAAAACCCAGAAATATAGACCATTACATGATAAAAGAATTCATAACAATTTTCAATTTTCAATTTTGGTTGGAATTATGCGCTAACGGCTGGAGAGAAGGCTAAAAATCCGATTTTATCAAAAAATCCCCACTCTGATATCTGTTTTATTTTTCCTAAACAACTTTCGAAAGATTTGAGTACGCCATTCGATAGAGCGTTAAAAGTTGTCCATGTAGCGTAATTTTCAAAGTTTCAACATTTGAGCTGATCAGGTTGCAAATTTTATACAATATGCCCCAAAACGGCTTTTCCATGCATTTTTATAATGGGTGTAAAACGGTCGAAAAAGGATGAAATATCAACTGCCTTATAACCAAAATGTAGCTCATTCCAAGGACTTTTTAACAGTATAAAGCTGAGCAGTGAAGCGCTTTGCCCTTTTGAGTTAAGGTGTTGGGCCCGACCAAAATTCCCGACTTTGATCTGGATTTTCGCAAAAACTACACGTCAGATCTTCGTCAAATTTTGTCCATGAAGACAATACACTTAGTACTACTTATGCTAAAAATTTTAAATAGCTCCTTTG